GGGGGGGGGGGGGAGAGATGCCACAGCTGCACCAGGCCCTGCTTTGAAGTGCAGGACGCCTGGGAGGCACAGGCCCTGGTGCTGGAAACCCAGAAGCTGAGGGAGCAGATGAGATGCCAGGTCGAGGACCATGTTCTCTCTACATTCCGACTCCAGGCACAGTGTCCCCCAGTCACCTCCCACAGCCACTTCAGGACAGGAGTGACACCAGGAAGGGAAATCAGAAGGGAAGCCCACTGGGGAGCCCTAGCCCCTTGGGTTTGGACCATCCTCACTTTGACCTGCCCCACAACAAGGCTCACGATCAAGCCCTGAGCAGTAACCGATGGAGCACTAAACACACCACAGACACAGTTGTTTCATTCTTCGTTTTGTTAAAAAAAACAAACAAACAACTCTGATAAATCAGGAAGAGGTTTAGGAGTGGTGATGCCGCAGAGGGAAGTGGACAGGATAGGATGAGGGCTGGCGGGGGCGGGGCCAGTGGTGTCTCCACCCTGATCCCTGGTGTCCTCTTCTGACTGGACAGACAGACTGCCACAGTCCAGAGTGGGTGATTCCTCTACCGCGTCTGTTCAACTGAAGAAAAACAGCAGCAGTCACAACAAGACACAAAAGGGAAATATCCCCCCATGCATGCATGCACGCTCTCACTCACTCACGCAGGTTCAGAGGATCCACTTGGAGTGGAGAGAAGAGAAACCCTGATCAAGACAGACCCACACAAAGGTCCACACAGCAGCATGAAAACTCCAGAGGGGCTGCAGCAGCCACTCAGCACCGGAGGCCACTCCCCAGAGAAGGTTTACATGGGACACTAACTGCTGTGGAGCAATCCTTTTCTACACTATGACTATGCATTACTCTCACTGTTAGCTGGGCAGGAAGTTAGGTGGGAAAGCCAAGCTGAGATTGATGGGAAGAGGAAGGCTGAGTCAGGAGTCGCCAGCCAGATGCAGAGGAAGCAAGATGAGAATGCTTCACTGAGAAAAGGTACCAAGTCATGTGGCTAAACACAGATAAGAATTATGGGTTAGCTGGGCAGTGGTGGCGCACACCTTTAATCCCAGCACTCCGGAGGCAGAGCCGGGTGGATCTCTGTGAGTTCGAGGCCAGCCTGCTCTACAGAGCAAGATCCAGGACAGGCACCAAAACTGCACAGAGAACCCATCTCGAAAAAACCAAAAATAAAAAAAGAATTATGGGTTAATTTAAGTGTAAGAGCTAGTTAGTAATTTCCCTGAGCTACCGGCCAAACATTTATAATTCATATTTAGCTTCTGGGTTGGTTAATTAGGAACAGGCTGGCATGAGAAAAATATCCGTTTACACTAACATGCAAAGAGGAAGTGGAATTTAGCAAAGATGCCTCAGTGAGTAAAGGTGCCTGACAGCCTGAGTTCACCCCGGAGAATCCACAGGGCAGAGGACAGGCAGCCTCAAGTTGTCCTCTGATCTCTACCTGTGTTGTGCATGTGCGCACATGGACGGACGGACGGACGGACGGACGGACACACACACACACACACACACACACAGTGTTAAAAGTTAAAAACCGCGCATAGCTACCCAGAGAAACCCTGTCTCGAAAAACCAAAAAAAAAAAAAAAAAAACTTAAAAAACCAAACCAAAGGGAAGAGGAGGCAGCAGGGGAAGGTGTGCTCACTGTAGGAGGAGATGTCGATCTCATCAGGCAGCTCACTGATGTTAACCTCAAAGCGGTCCTGCACGTCATTGAGGATCTTAGCATCATTCTCATCCGACACAAATGTGATGGCCAAGCCCTTGGTTCCAAACCGGCCTGCTCTGGCCACCTGGGATGAGACAAGGGGAAGATCACAAGCCTCAAGGAGACCGACAGCAGAGGAAGGTGCACACAACACACACACAGGAAGTGGGGTGAGGGCGGGCAGCTTACCCGGTGCAGGTAGGTGTCTGAGTCCTCTGGCATGTCATAGTTGAAGGCGATGTTTACACGCTCAATGTCCATGCCTCGGCCAAACAGGTTGGTAGCCACAAGAATCCGCCTCTGGAAATCCTTGAACTGCTGATACCGAGACAGCCTTTGTGAGGAAGGAGAGGAAAAGATTGAGATCCCTTCTCACCACACCTTTTCCTCCCCAGGACACAAAGCCCGTCTCCAATCACCTCTCCTCCTGGGGCATCCCACGGTGGATAGCAATGGCTGGGAAGTTCTGCTCCACTAGAAGCTGGGCCAGGGCGATGCACCTCTGCACGGACTTCACAAAGATCACCACCTGGGGAACACGAGCGTGACGTGATGTATGTACAAGTTTCCCAGAACCTCACCTTTTTTGTTTTTAAAGTTTGTGTGGGTGTCTTGCCTGCATGTGTGCCTGTGCACACGCATGCCCAGGGCCTGGAGAGCCAGGACACTGGACCCTCTTCCCTGCCGACTGCACTCACATGACTGGGAGCTGACATGTGAGAACTGAACTTGGGAACCCTGGAAGAACAAATGTGCTCTTCACCTCTGAGCCACTTCTCCAGCCCCAGGAATCTCACTGTTGAAATGTTTTACATGTATGTATCTGTGTGTTTGTGTGAATATATACAGGTGTGTGCAGGTCCCCTAAAGGCCACAAGTGTGCTGCATCCCCTGGAGTGAGTGCGAATCCTCTCAAAGAGCAGGAAGTTTGTCTTGAGACAAGGTTTCTCTAGGTAGCCCTAGTTGTCCTTAAACAGATTATGTAGCCTAGGCTAGGACCAACCTTGAACTCACAAAGATCCCCCATCTCTGACTACCAATGCTTGGGATTAAAGATCTGTGCCAGCCCACCTGGCAGCTTTTTCCCCCTTATCTTTAGTTTCTCTGTGTATCCCCTGGTTGTCCTGGAACTCCACTCTATAGACCAGGTTGGCTTTGATCTCAAGAGACTTGCCTGCCTCTGCCTCCCGAGAGCTGAGATTAAATGGGAATGCCAACACCACCCAGCAGAATTTCTAAAAGAATTCCTCAGTCCCTTATTCCATCTCAAAACTCCCTTCATAAATGTTCTTTTCTGCTCTTGAACCCAGCTGCCTGGTATCTGAGCTGCCATGGACATAAACTGACACACACAAGGGTGAGGCAACCTCAGGAAAATGCTAAGAATCGAACTACAGTCTAGAAAAGCAGGTGATCCTCTTCAAACACAAGAGCCCACAGTGGCTCTGCAGCCAGCTTAGCACAGGCTGACACTGCTACTCTTAGGTGAGCACAGGAGACCACAGCAGAGCCTCCACCTCAGTACCCATCCCAAGGCTCTTCTCCACTTACTGAGTCATCAAGTTCTCTGCCTCAGATCTCTCACCCAGCCACTCCATCTTCCCACTGCAGACCTGCTCCTCCCTCTCACCTCTTCACATATTTGGCTCCTTCAATCACAGGCTACTTCTACACAGGCTCGGCCACAGCTGGAGCTGTCCAGTGCTCACGCCCACAGGGACCCTCAATACTGACCTGGTTGAACTCGAGGACATCGAGAAGGTCAAAGAGCTTCCGGTTCTTCTCGTTGTCCTTCAGTTTCACGTAGTATTGCTGCAACCCGTGCAGCGTCAACTTGGTCTCGTCATCCACGAAGATCTCCATAGGCTGAGGGAAGGAGGGGTGGGGCAGGAGGAGGGCAGAGTGGGGGGGTTAAACCTGGGGGGGTGGAGGACGCTGATCTCCAGTTCACCCCATGGACCGATGGGGAGGAGAGAGAAGACTGAAAACCCCTCCCCATCACACTCTGTACTGAGGTCCCTTTCCAGTTAGATCCGGTAGCATCTCATCAGCTGCATTTTAAAGCCTGAGAAGGGTCAGAGGAGAAGGAACTCTGCACAGAGCAGGGACGCTCCCCGTTGCAAGGTGCCAGTGTCAGGTGAGGTGGTGGGGAAAGAGAACAGGGGAGATGGTGCTCAGGGAGAGCGTGGCCAGAGCACACGGGAGAGGCAGTGGCCATGGGGCCTGGGCACGGCCACCAGAACAGGACAGGACGACCGCCCCACTCAGCTGTCCTCTCAATGCACCTCAGCAATGTCCTCAGGACCACACAGTTGCACTGGACATAGTCAAAAGGCCATTCGAACCCGGGGTTAGTGGCACACTGTTACCCCAGCTCTCGGTGGTTGAGGTAAAGTCTTTTAAAATGTCATTGAAGAGCAGAGGTGAGGGACACCCTGCACTCAAACCACTAGGACCAGCTTTAGAAGAGACTCCTCTCTAAAGTGCATGTTCAGGGTGAGGGATCAACACATGGTCCTAGAAAACAAACAGGAAGTGCAGCTCTTTCTCACAACTTCCTCAGCTAGTCCGGGCCACCTTCCGGAGTTAACTCAATCAGCACATTTTTGCCTTTTTCTGACTTTCTCTCTCTTCTGGTACCAAGCAAAGATAGAAGCAGCTTGTCCTGACCCTCTGGGCTTCCCTTTCTCTGGAGCCTCACCCCTGCAGGCGCCTGCAGATCTCCATCACGGAGCTTCTGGGACTCTCACTAAAAAGGGCATGGCTTCTCTCTTCCCCGGCTCCCTCCTCCCAGCAGCTGTGAGATTTACAGCTTCCCTGCCCTGTTGCTTTTCTCCGAAAAATCTAATACAATGATCTTTTACTATCAAAGGTGAAAAGGGCAATAGAAAGGAATTGACCTTATATTTTACAAAAAATCAGTAACAAAATATATACCCAGCCCTAACCCTTGAAGGGGAGGAAGGAACATAAACACGGAAACAGACACCAGTTAACTGCAGGCAGGACTTCCCACTCTCCATACTGTCTTGAGACAGTTCACACAGAGCCAGGGATGAAGAAGGGGTGCCACAGAAGCCTCTTCCAGAAAGCAAGGCAGCTCCCCAAGTAAGTCTCACAGCCTCCTCCTAATTCTTCCCCAAGCCCAGCCCAAGAGAAAGCCATCTTCTCAAGGGATGGAGCGGGTCAGGGAGGGAGGGACCCTACTGCTCAGTCTCGGCACTGACACCCATGCACATCTCAGTGCAGCTTCCCACAGGACTTTTCCCATCACCCTCTTTAAAAAAAAAAAAAAGAGAGAGAGAAAAAAATCCACCACCCCACTCAGGACAGCCCTCCCACAAGAATGGGGAAAATGGGGTACAGCACATTAGGTTCAGGAAAAAACCGGGAACAGAAAAAGAGGCTGGTTTGGTCCTCAGCATCCTGGTCAGGCTCCCCGTGGCCTCCGCTGCTGCCATCCACCGCTCGTAGTCTGTATTCTCCCGCCGTGCCTCGGTGCTTCTCTGCTGCCAGCTCACATCAACCAAGGCTCCGATGGGCGCAAGGAGGTATGGGCAGGAAGGAGGAGGGGACGGGGTCGAGGTGCCAAAGGCCCCCGCCCCTGGAGGTTGGGAGGGCGGATGCATGGCGCTGTTTGTTTGCTCTTCTTCTGGACAGGCCCTGCCACCTGACTGACTGTCCTTCTCCTGCGCTCCTGCCACTGACGTGTGAGTTTCGGTGAGCAGAGGCTCCAGCTCCACGCTCCACGCCACCTGGAGAGTGTGTGGCTGTGCGGGTGTGTAGGAGACGGTGGGCGGGTGATAGGGCACAAAATCTTGCCCTACCCCCGACAGGGAGAAGAGGTTCAAAAATGTGTGATTTTAAAATGTCAAGTACTACCCGCTCTCACAATAACCCGACCAAGTCTTCCGGAGTTTCCCTGGCGCGCTGACCCTATCACTAACTGTCTCTGCCTCTGCGGTTCTCTTCAAGGAGTCCTCACTCCCAGGTGGACACAAGCTCCTTTCTTGGTGCTTGAAGGACAAGGGAGTCTGGAGGAAGAGGGCGAGGAGGGGGAGGAGGCATCGGGCGGGGAGTGGAAGGAGAGAAGGTAGAAGGGTATTTACATCTTGCATGAACTTGCGGCAGACTGGCCGGATCTCTTTGCTCAAGGTAGCACTGAACATCATGACCTGCTTCTCATGGGGGGTCATGCGAAAAATTTCCTGGACATCCCGACGCATGTCTGCAGGAAAAGAATCAGCAGAAGAGAATGAGTCTGTGATGTAAGTGCAGTGAGGCCACAGGCAATGAAAATCCAGAGGAAGTCACTCTAGAAACCTGGTCTCCACTCTCCATTATCTCCAAGAACAAGCCAGGCTTGGTGGCACATGCCTGTGATCCCGGCACTTAGGAGGTGGAGGCAGGAGGATCAGGAGCTATGTACTGAGTTCTGAGATCAGCCTAGGCTACTGAGATTGCTTTAAAAAAAAAAATTAACAACATGAAAAAAGCCGATGCATTTAGAAAGGTACTTGGAGTCAGGCTCCATTCCTTTTTTTTTTGGCCAAGAAATATAACTGAACCTAAAATCCAAATTTATAAATTGGAGACAAAATCCACCAGAGGCTCAGGAACAGCAGCCCTTAAACAGAGTATGAGGCTGGAGAGAGGCCCAGCCTTTAAGAGCCCTTGCTGCTACTCCAGAAGACCTGGGTTAGGTTCCCAGCTTCCACAACTGCCTGTAACTTAGAGCTCCAGGGAAATCCAGTGCCGCTGTTCTCTCTGGGAACACACACACCATTAAAAATAAAAACTTAGAGCCTGCTTCAGAAGCACATACACTAAAATTGGAACTATACAAAGATTAGCACGGCCCGTGCACAAGGATGACACAAAAATTCGTGAAGCATTCCATATAAAAAACAAATAAGCTTAAATCTTCAATACAACTTCTTTTGCCGGGTGTGGTGGTGCACCTCTTGAATCCCAGCACTCAGGAAGTAGCAGTAAGCTGATCTCTAAGTTGCCAGCCTGGTCCACACAGCAAGTTCCAGGCTAGCTAGAGCTACAGTGAAAAAACAGGACGCTGAAGGCTTCCACCAGCTCTTCTCCCTACGCCAGTCTACAAAGCACTTACTCTGGACATCAGTCCACTCTGTTCCTTCACCTTCAACTCTAGTCTTACACCCCTGTTTGGCCAGGCAAATATGGCCCATCTAATGCCCACCATTATTGTCTGCCATCTTGGACAGCCAAAGGCCATTTGGAAAGACCTCTCTGGGCCTACACTCACAACTAGCCAAAATCAAATTCTTTTTCTGTTTTACTTTTTTTTTTTTTTTTTTTTACATTTTGTTTTAAAGATAGGGTCTTACTATGTAGGCCTTGGCTGGCCTGAAATTCATAAAGATCCACCTAGATTAAAGGCATGCAAGTTTTTTTGGTTTGGTTTTGATTTTTGGAAACAGAGTTTCAGTGTGTAGTCCTAGCTGTCCTTGAACTTGCTCTGTAGACCAGGCTGGCCTCCAACTTAGAGATCCACAGCCTTAGCCTTGTGCTGGGGCTGAAAGTGTGCACCACCACCACCACCACCACCGAGCATGCGGTCATTCTAATTTATGTCACCTATGCGGGTGTTACCTGCATGTTACGTCTATGTGCTCACAGAAGGCACAAGAGGGCTTTGCGTCCCCTGGAACTGGCGGTGTATATGGTTACACACTGCCATGTGGAACGTGTTGGATGGAAGCCAGGTTCTCTTAACCACTGAGCCCTCTCTCCAGTTCTTACCCCATGAAAATCTTATAATGTATGGGTGCTTTGCCTGCATTTTTGGTCTGTGCTCCACTTTTACATGGTGTCCACGGAGACCAAGAGCAGGAGATCTTCTTGAATTACTACACTGTTACGAGGTGGCACACAGGTGCTGAGATCAAACCCAGGTCCTCTGAAGGAGCAGCAGCCAGTGCTCTTAACTGATGAACCATTTCTTTAGCACTGCCCAGCAGAATTCTTAATGTTTTCTTTTAACCCCACTTGGCACACTACAACACCAGAACACATGACCTGTGAACACTCACCAGATGAATTCCAGAATTTAACTCTAGAAACCTGCTCATTTATAAATTCCGATCACACATGCTAAACTGCAGCGGTTCTCAGCCTGTGGGCTGAGACCCCTTGGCGGGGAGTGTCAACCACCTTTTACAAGGACCCCATATCAGATATTCACATTACAACTCATAACAGTAGCAAAATTACAGTTATAAAGTAGCAACAAAAATGTTATGGTTGGGGGTCACCAGGACATGAGGAACTGTATTAAAGGGCCGCAGCATTAGGAAGGCTGAGAACCACTTCTATACTGGGACGGAGGAACAGGCACAACAGGCCAGCATGCACAAGGCCCGGGTTCAATGCCCAGCACCAGGGGAAGAAAGGAAATGCAGAGCCATCAGTCATGGGTGATAGATCAGAGTCGTCCTTGCACACAAGTGCTCCTGTGTCAGACAGCATCATCTGGCTCCAAGGGTGCTCCCCAAACCACCTCAGCCCAGGCCCGAGCCTGGCCACTCACCGAGCTGTTCAAGCATCTTGTCACATTCGTCCAAGATAAAGTGTTTAATGTGCTTGAGGTTCAGGCTCTTATTTCGAGCCAGGGCTAGAATTCGGCCAGGGGTCCCCACGACAATGTGCGGGCAGTTCTTCTTCAGCACCTCTTCATCCTTCTTGATAGACAGACCACCAAAAAACACTGCCACCTGTCGGCCAATGGAAAGAAGTCTCTCAAGAAAGGAAAAGGCTCCAGTCTCCCCAGCCCACTGTCTTCCTTTCCTTCTTCTGAGATCAGGTCTCGCCATGTAGCCCAGGCTGCCCTCTACCTCACTGTGGGTCAGGCTGTCTCTGCTGCCCACATGCTGTCCGATGTTTCCCTCTTAGCTGACTGTAAACCAGTTAGCTTTCAGACCTGCAATGGCTCGTGAGCCTCCAAACATCCAGGTAAGAAACAAAGGGACCTGCTCAGCACTGCAGGGCCAACCGGGGCGGGCCTTAAGATGAGAGTTCAGTCCCTCTGCCCGACCCAAACACCTTTTTTGAGACAGGAACTCTACATAGCCCTGGCTGACCTACATAGTAAGGGACACGTGACTCTAAAGCCATGGCTTCCTTAGAAGAATGAAGACAGCAAGATAAGTGTGAGGTCGGTCGGGGTCTCAGTCGGTCGGGGGTCTCTCTCTCTCTCTCTCTCTCTCTCTCTCTCTCTCTCTCTCTCTCTCTCTCTCTCTCTCTC